AAAGGTATATTACGTTAGTTACGTATAGTAAGTCACGTAAAGGATATTAAATTAATTATGTCAACTTTATCGTCATATTACTTAATCAAAGGTATATTACGTTAGTTACGTATAGTAAGTCACGTAAAGGATATTAAATTAATTATGTCAACTTTATCGTCATATTACTTAATCAAAGGTATATTACGTTAGTTACGTAAATATACATTAATACTTTTCACGCCTTTTTCCATTCACAACAATTCATCCATATCCATCCATCAGATATTATTATCGTTATTGCAACATGACATCATTATCGATCTGAGATGTAATAACTACCCATCGCTTTTCTCATTTTGCTTCTTCTCTATTCCATCTGTACTATTTCTTCCTTCATTCTCTCTCTCTCTCTCTTTCTTTTTCCATTAGAAATAGTGAAGTATTCTTTCAATCGGACATATTAAGAAGGCTTTTTTCATATTTCTATCTCTATAAGTATTTGCTGTATAATAGGCCATATTTATTGGTAATATTTTTGCATGATAATTGTTAATTTCGACAAAGTACAAATCAATGATAATGACGACAATGATGACGATGACGATGACGATGATTAATTCCGATGACATATTGTTGTAGTAACCATTGGTTAGTTTTAAAATGGAGAGAAATGATGATAGTACGAGTAGCCATTGGATACATTAAAAATAAAAGGCGAAAGGTCATTATCATATTATTCCTCTGAATCCCTAACTATTTTCTTATGTTTATAATGTTGACTTTTGTTCACATTTCAACAAATCAGTGATTTTGTCATACAACCTGTATAGTTATTATTCTTTGTCATCTATTATCCATTTTCCTGATCCTTATTGATGATATCTATTTCCTCTTTTAGATGAGTACTTTGACCTTATTTACGTAATGTGTAACCTGAATTTGCTTCAGATTTTAACATTTGCATATAATAGAAGTTGATAGGGAATATGGAAGGGTTTTTGAGGATATATTATTTGTGTTATTATTAGGTATTTCTACTTTCATAACCTTTATTTTAATTAGATAATTTTTTAAAATTAAAATTTAATTCATTCATTTATCCATTTTCTTTTATAATAAGTTATTTGTTTATTTGATTATTTGTTTTGTCTTATTGACTTTTCCATATTTATTCTGCTTTAAACTGTACAATTTATTACTCTTGTTTGTTTGTCTTCTTTACCGATAACATTTAATGATAAATTCAATTTTACTTATTTATTTGCATTATAGTTTATTTTTCTTTATTTTTATTTGCTTACTTATTTTAATCTATCTGTTGTGATTTATTCATGTGATTTATTTAATCAACAATAATTCAGCATGTAAGAATGAAATGATAAATGATAGGATTATCGTTGGTGATAGTTAACATTTGCTGATTAAACATATGTACATGATGAACTTGTTTAATTTGTTTATACATAATACAACGAACAACGAGCGCATACAATTAATCGAACTTTTCATTTTTAATTATTTTTTCAGTTTTATTTTATAGATTTGCAATGACGAAAAGAATGACCGAACGAAAAGATCTTGGAGATTTCATTGAGCTTGGTAAATATACTGGCTTTCTTTGTTTACTCTATGAATTATTGGTTGTTTCACAAGTTAGCAATCTTATCTACATGATTTATGGAGGTTTGTTTCCATTTAATTTTTTTTTATTTTTTATTTTTGTTATATTTTGTTGAATAAAATTTCCAAATATTTGCATCTATTTGCATTCATTCTGAAAATATTTCAGAATGTATAGTATTCATTTTGTTTTGTATTTCTTGTTTATTGTTTTAATACTTATAGATGTTCAGTATTTATAGAAATTATAGAAATTCTCTTTCATTTTTCCATTCAGAAATATATAGTTTTAGAGATATATTATTAATCGTTTTATGGTTATTTTGTCTGTCAACAATTCACTTGCGAAATGATATTTTATTTCAGATTTTTTTTTCCAAAAAAAAAAAGAAAAAAAAATTTTGTGCTCTTGGAATGTTTATCTTTTCGAAAGAATAATTCGCCGGTTTTTTTTTTTTAAAAAAGAAAAAAAGGAATTTTCATTTGCTTCATGGCAAAATGTAGCAAGCCTTAATTGGATAACTGTTGGTACATTATTTGCAAGTTCTTTTCATTTTTTTTTGCGTTAAATGATTTTTCCACAAAAAACTTGGAGCCATTACTTACTTTACTTCCTCACTTCTTCAATTATCTGTATATTATTTGCTAATTTAATCCGAACAACTGATTCCTCCTTTTTTATTTTTCCTAGCAATGTCTTGTTTTTTTCACATCTTTTGTTTACATCGCAGAAATAAACTTTTTATAGTAATTTCTAGTACAAGGATATTTGGTTATGACTATTTCTCCTAAGTATCAGAAGGTGGTTTTTCTTTAAGAATTTACTACTATTTTTTTTTTCTTCATGAGTAAAACGATGAAGTATCTTTGGAAATGTATGTTTCGTTAATGTCAATTGCTTGATGTGATTATTCAACATATCATTCATTATTAATGGATAAATATATTAGTTTAACTGATAAACAAATAGATACATACCTTCCATCAATTAAATCGATAAAGATGTTAAAAGAAGAAAATCTATCTTCAAAATCTGTCATCATCATCATCGGTTTGACAATATGAATTTTGATTTTAACTAGAAATAGCATACATGAGTAAGTTTTCAAGGAATTTGATCAAATATTGTTGAATTCGGGTTGTTTCTCTAATTTGTTACAACATTACAAAGCAGCGTAACATTTTCAAGAATTAAATCGTGCTGTCCATGAACAGTTTTATCACTGCTAAGTAGTATTCCATTTATTTTATTA